TCTGCACAGTGCCTGTGGAGAGGATGGAAGTTAAAAAACAGCAGCTTTCCTCTTTATCTTTGCTCCTTGTCATGGACATTACCTGACCACTCTTGGGCAGTCTTCTTTGTTTCTTATTTAAAAATCCTAGCAATAAAATACAAAGAATAGAACCAAACAACTTATAAGTGGACAATCACCCCAAATCAAATAAGCAGCCAGCACCCAAGGCAATCACTAAAATAGGCTAATACAGTGCCTTGAGCACAGAAAGCTCATTGCTGGGATTAGAAAAAATGCCTTTCCTTACTCCATTAAAGTTCTGTCTCCTCTCCTGTCCCTCTCTTTTTGCCTCACAAAGGGAAATTAAGAGGTGATACAAGATTTTTAAAAAGTTTCTATTTTTACATATGACAGTACCTAAGCATTCTAACAGAGCATTATGGAAGTGTTAACACAGTTGTAAGAAGAAAGGTTGGGGAGCAGAAATAAAGAATTCACTAGCAGGTAAGTTCTCCAAGGACAAAGATGAAGGAATTTATTCACTGATATATTTTAAGCTCCTAGCATAGTCCCTGCCATAGGATAAGCTTTCAGAGAATATTTGTTAAATGAATGAATGATAAATAAATTAAAGAAAAAATGCTATTTTCACATACAAATTAACCTAATCTGGACAATCTGCTGTGATTTTGCTTTTCTGTGTTTGTAAAGAAGTTGATGACCTAATGCCAAATAAATGCATATAAGGAGGTACCTTTAAAAAATAAAGAAAAAAGGGAAAGAGTTACTGTCATACAGACGTGAATTCAAATCTCAATTCTATCACTTCAAGTTCTATGATGTTAGTCAACTTACTTACACCCTGTGAGCCTCAGTTTCCTCATTTGTAAAAATGCAGGTTATAAAAACAATGAAAGGAGATTACTGTAAGGATTAAATAATATATATAAATCAATAAGTATAGATATGGTATAGAATAATTTCTTAATATATGGAAGATACTTTTTTTATCTGACTAGAGGCCCAGTGCATGAAATCTGTGCACGGGTGCGGTCCCTAGGCCTGACCAGCAATCAAAGTGCGAGCGTCTGGCATGGAAAGGCAGGTCCCAGCTGACCTCTGGGCCCTGGGCAGCACCTGGGCCCCCAGGGCCCCCACGCACCCCACTCCGCCTGTGTTATTGGGCCCCTGCCTGGCTCCCTCAGCGCCTGGGAGCTGGGCGGCAGCCCCGCTCCCCGCCCCTGCCACTGGTTGCCGTCTGCAGGGTGATCAGTGGGGCAATCCAGCCTGCTTGCACCTGCCTTGGCCTGGAGCCGCCCACTCACCTGCCTCACCATCCCACCGTGGTCCCGCTCTCATCGGGGCCTATCGGGGCTGGCAGCACCTCCACTGCCGCCTGCTGCCAGCGCCGCGTCGCCAACGCCCACCATGTTCTGCGTCGCCCCCTGGAAGTCAGCACACGTCATAGTGAGTGGTCGCACTCCCGGTCGAACTCCCAGGCGAGGGGACAATTTGCATATTAGGCTTTTATTACATAGGATTATCCTCACTCTCCTATTTAAACCATTTATATATAAAAAAGCCTAAGCGACAGTTCAACCATTAGCTATGACGCGCACTGACCACCAGGGGGCAGACATTCAATGCACAGGCATGGAAACATGGAACAAACTGATGAATTCAAAGGGAAGGAGGAGGGGGGTGGGCGGGAAGAGATTAACCAAAGATCTTATATACATACTAGAGGCCCAGTGCACGAAATTTGTGTGGGGGTGGGAGGAGAGGAGGGGAGCCCTTAGCCTGGCCTGCACCCTCTCTAATCCAGGACCCTTGGGGGATGTCCGACTGCAGGGACCAGGCGGAAACCAGCAGTCCAACATCCCCCAAGGGGTCCCGGATTGGGCGACGGCGCAGGCCAGGCCAAGGGACCCCACCAGTGCACAATTCTGTGCACCGGGCCTCTAGTTTGAATATATAATAATAAATGGACCATCAAATGTGTATTGGTCACCTACTGTGTACCCAGTACTTAAACATCAGCAAAGAATTAAAAATTTCTAATTTAGAAGCCTTAATAGTACTAACATTTATTGAGCATTTACTATCTATAACTAACACTCTCTGGGCATACATTTAGTTATATTATTTAAGTCATGAAGCATCTGTTCACGGCAGACACTAAATACAGTAAAATGCAATACTTAAATAATGTTCAGATGTTGGTCGTTCATAAATCTCAACACTTTGAAGTTAAGAGAGTGAAAGTTTTATTTTATGATTTAGAACAACTCTGCAGAATACTAATTATAATGTGTGACAGAATACAGAGGATACTCTCAACCATTCAAACTCTTCATGTGACAGATAAAGGATGCTGAAAAGTTTGAATGATTTGTTCAAAACCATATAGCATATACATTTTTAATTTTCCTTGCAGGACATCAGATCCTGAGATCAGATTACTCAAGAGATATGAAGCAAATATAACAAAATATTAACTTTTTTTATTATTGAGGTTAGTACAAATAATATTTATGGTGTTTTCCTCTGAGTTTTTCTGTACCTTTAACATTTTTAATTAAAAAATTGCTTCAGCTGCTTATGTACTTTCATTTTCAAAGCAGATATATTATCAACCTTTATATATAACAGATTTATAAAAACTCTAGGTCTCAAATTTTTCTTTCTTTTTTAATGACAGTACGGCAAAGCACAAAGTAGTTCAAACAATAAAAGATGCATACAATTCTCTAGAAGTCTTGGCAGTTTTCTCCATAATCAAATTCTTTCCCAAATGAACTACAGTCTGCAAATCTTAAAATAATAGAAGGTTTAAGAACAAAATCAAAACAAGAAAAAAAAGAAATATCTTTCATGCCTCATACTCAGAAAGGCATCTTCATCATAATATACATAAGCAATTCCACATTACTTGCTTCAACCCTTGACCCAAAACACAAATATGTACAGTATTTTTCTTTATGTGAGTTCTATATTCAAGGACAGCATGAAGCTCCAAAAGAAGACACACAGTATTTTGAAGTGTACGACTGATTATTTAGAGCCAGTCAAACAGGGTAAATATAGCGTATGCACTTCCAGTGCAGCAGAACTTCCAAACCCAGGCAATGTTGAGAAGTGAAAGACATTAGGACACGAAATTCAGATAATGATTCAATAAGAGGCCAAGGATTTGGTGTGCAAGAAGGAAGGAATGAGAAAGGCGGAAGCTCTTGCTTTGAAACGGAGTCTGTAAGCTAACAAATGCCAGTGCATTAGCACTCTTTCTGAATCTGCGTTTCTGGATTTGGGTTTAGCTGTTCATATACAGCTAACACAAGAATTTTGGATAATAAGAGTTAATTGTATTTTCAACTGTGTTAACAAAATTAAAATGAATTGTAATTATTCCTCATTACTTTAGCTTTCAGAAATGGTTATGAGCTACACATTTGTCACCAGAAAAAGACTGCTATCTCCTGCCAAACTCAGCATCAGGGTATGTGTTTAATGGACTGCTTTGATAAAGCCTTGGCACCACACATCCCTCAGATACAAAATGGAACGTTAGGTCTGGCCAAGTGTGAATTTAGTAGACCCCTCAAATGTAAGATGCAATCAATGAGGTTCTCCCCTTTCCCACTGTAAGCTTACACTTCTGGGAATCACCACTTTCTTGGTCCCAGAACTATCATAGTTGGCCAAACTGTCTGTGACCACAAACAACCACAACTTATCAGCCTGTTGTTGTGGCCCCTGTACGGTTTCCACATTAACCCTGAAACTACTTGGGGCACTGATGCTAAATTTGTATAGTATTTCTAACTGTTCAAAACACATTCACACACACTGCCTCACTTCTTCCTTTCAAAATTCCAGGGAATAATATCTAAAATTCAACTCTTCATTACCCCCAGCCTGCTCCTCCCACCATGTTTCCTGTCTCCAGGATGCTACCACTACACAACCTGCTGGTCAAGAGACAAAACCAGGAGTCATCCTTGCCTCCTCCTTCTCCTTGATTACCATCCAATTACCAAATGAAGTTGGTTCTACCTCCAAATTGCTGATTATCTCTAGTTTCATCTCATAAAGTCAGGCTACAATCATCCTCTGCTTTGGATCACTGCACTGGCCTCTGTGAATCTGGCCTCAGCTTCTCCAATATATTCCACATTATTGTACTTTCTGCTTAAATTTTTGCTGACACTCCAGTACCATTAGGTAAAGTCCAGGCAAATATAATGCCCTTCACCATCTGAACCCTTGCCCAATATTCTACCCCATTTCTTCCTTACTAAATCCGTCCCTGACATCCTATATTTTGGCCACACTGAACTCCTTGGAATTTCTTGATTATGACACATTTTCCATACACCCATGCCTCTTTTTTGCTGCTACTCTGATGGGTGTCCTTCAGGACTCCACTTAGAGGTCATTCCTTCCAAGGAGAGAAACACAGTACTCACTGACCTGCATTCCCACCCAACCCAGGCCGGGTTATAAACCTGTCCTGTACATCCCCAGACACCCCAGAGTTCACTTCCATTAGTCCCTATTGTTTGCTTTACTTGTCATTTGCTGCTATCAAACTCAAAGCTAAATGAGAGAAAGAATAATGTCTTATTTATAAGTAAGTATTGCCAGAGCCTAGCACCAGTGCTCAATGTATGTTTCTTAGGAGATGCTCAATAAATGCTTCTTGAATCAATAAAAATATAGATTTTATGTCATTTTACAAATTAGAAAGCTGAGTAACAAAGCAGTTAAAGTCACAAACTAATTCAAAGAACTGAGACCAAAGCCCAAACCTTGCGAATCCTGGCCCTGTAAGAGACAAGCCACCACATTTTGCTGGTTGGAATGTTAACAACTGGGAGCAAAATCTGAATGACAGTTTCCCCTATGACCCACACAGAATAAGCATTACACTCAGTGGGCCTTCACACAGCTCCATTCTCAGACAGGCGCCCGCCTTTCCAGTAGCCATCAGCCTGATTTCAAAGGCTATATACTACCTTTTCCCTCTGTCACATGTTGAAGTAACTTCTCAAGTTCAGGAAGTTTCAGCAACAAGATGCAATTCGGAAACATATCATCCACCACAACTTGATCTAGAGGCTGGAACTTTCCCTGAAAAAAAGACTTTAGTCGGTAAGAATGCAAGCACACCAGTCAATAAATCCATACATTAAAAAAAAAAAAAAAGATACATTACCTCATAACTGGACTTTTAAACTAAGTTCAAAGTCACTTGTTCACCTAAGGAATCCCTAAACTGGGACAGGCTCCAGAACTGACTCTCAGCTCCCTTTAGGAAGCCCTTAAAAGAGTTTCTACCTCATGAGTACAATAACTGGATAATACTGGGCAACAAAATTCTGGAAAAGTACTGGAAGTTATGGAAACTTGCAAAGATGGTAGATTACCTGGGGCTGGTCTAACCCATTTAATTTGAAAAAGAACCAGCTGATGTTACAGAGCAGGAGTCCTGACCATAATCCAGAAATAAGCCTAGATCAAGCCCAGCACGTACATCTCCTCTCCCCTCCTCACATCTCCAGTGCTTTAAATACCACAAAAAAAAAGAAACATAGCAAAAGTGAATCTACTCCTGTCACGGCTGTCTGACAATGCTTCCAAATTTAGACCACAAGGAAAGAAGAGATAGGATGAATATAAGAACTTGCAGACACATTAAATCAGGCTCAGCTTGATAACTGTATGTGGCCTGGTAGCCAAGTGCAGGACACAGAAATCCAGATCCTCCTTCTTCTCAATCAGATTTAGTTTTTCTGAACTTTACTTGTGGCCTGGAGAGAAGTCTAAGTTATTAGTCACCTGACTTAGGGATATCAGACTTTGTAAAGGTATATGGTTTTGCTCATGTCCCACAAATACAGCTTTCTTTGTTTTAAGGGTAAAAGCTTCTCATTCATTCAGTAGCATGTGTGATAGCTTGTCATGCTGTCAGTTAGGTTAACAAGTGGCAAGAAGTGCCTCAATTTAAATGTCCTCTTTTTCCTTCAGACAGTAAAAATAATTCACAGATTTCCTAAGTCGTACTGTCTTTAGATTTCTATCTTAATTTATATTCTTCCATGATCAACATTTTAAATATTTACCTTAAAACAACATTCTACATATATATAATGGACTACTACACAGTCATAATATAATTTCAAAATTAATGTTTCATTTCTTTTTTCTTTACCATCTTATATAATAAGAGGTAATATGCAAATTAACCCTCATGCCATCACAAGATGGCTGCCTATGACCAGGCCAGTAGGGGGGTTAGTGAGGGACAACCAAATGACTAAACAACAGGGGGCAATCAGGCTGGTGGGGGGGCCATGAGGGGCGACCAGGCCGGTGGTGGGGGAAGGCAGTTAGGGGCAACCAGGCCAGCAGAGGGGGGCAGTTGGGGGCAACAAGGCCAGTGGGGGTGGGGAGTAAGAGGCGACCAGGTCGGCAGTGGGGGCAGTTAGGGGTGACCAGGCCAGCAGGGGGGACAGTTGGGGGCGATTAGGCTGGCAGAGGGGCAGTGAGGGGTGACTTGGCCAGTGGGGGGGCAGTTGGGGGTGACCAGGCCAGCAGAGGGGGTAGTTGGGGGCCACAAGGCCAGCAGAGGGGGGCAGTTGGGGGCAACCAGGCTGGCAGGAGGGGGCAGTAAGGGGTGACCAGGCTGGCGGGGGGGGCAGTTAGGAGTGACCAAGGCCAGCAGGGAGAGGGCAGTTGGGGGTGACCAGACCAGCAGGGAGGGCAGTTAGGGGCGACCAGGCAGGCTTCGGAAGGTGAGCGATTAGGAGCCAGCGGTCCAGGATTATGAGAGGGATGTCCGACTTCTGGTTTAGGCCCGATCCTCGAAATTGGGCCTAAACCAGCAGTCGGACATCCCCCAAGGGATCCTGGATTGGACAGGGTGCAGGTTGGGCTGAGGGGACCCTTCCCCCATTCACGAATTTTGCGCACTGGGCCTCTCGTCTATATATATACTAAAAGCCTAAGTGACTGTTATGACCGGTCAACTGAATGACTGGTTGCTATGACGCACACTGACCACCAGGGGGTAAATACTCAATGCAGAAGCTGCCCCCTGGTGGTCAGTGCACTCCCACAGCCAACCTACCTCCCATGGTCCCTTCCCCTAGACAGCCAGCCGGCCCCAATCAGCCTGGATTGGGACTGGGTGAGACAGCCCTGATGCCGGCCAGGCCAAGGGACCCCACCCATGCATGAATTCGTGCACTGGGCCTCTAGTATATACATAAAAAGGAAATGTAATAAGTAACTTGCTTTGAATACTTGCTTTGGGATAGCTAGAATAAAAAAGTATTTCTTCTGATGCTAAAATAAATCTTATGATTAAAAAAGAATAAGTCAACATTTTAAAAGTGCTTACCAATATATTTTTTTAGTAAAATAAGAAAAGATCATGTCTAAAATGTAGGGAAGAAAATACCTAAAAACCTCATTGGTTACTTTAAAAGGCATTTTTAGTATTTGAGAAAAGAAAGATAGTTTATAATGAAAGCCATTAGCATTTAAACTATATGTAAACATTAGAGTGAAAATAAAAAAACACAACAGATTCTTCTAAGCAGTTTAAATAACACTTATTCCTTAAAATTGTTCAAAGACTTTCAAATTGAGGGTTGGTAGAACCCTGGGAGTCCCCTGTATCCTTTCAGAGGACACATAAGCTCAAAGCTATTTTCATAATATTGCTACGATGCTATCTGTGTTTCCACTGTGTTGACATTTGCACTGAAGATTCCAATGCAAAGGTGGGTAAAACTGCTGGCTCCTCAGCATCCATTGGTTAGGGTGGTGAGAACAAACTATCCTGGTAACCACTAAATTCTTCACTGCCATACACAAGCAGTTAAAAACTGGCCAGTTTCACTTAAGGACATGCTTGATAAAAAGTAGAAGCTTTTATTATATCTTGACTCAAGTGCAAATCTTTTAAATACTTGGTGTGATGAAAGTAAAGTTTTGGTAAAGTGCTAAGGCTGCGAGGGAAGGTGCAGGACTGTTGCAAGCTGAAGTAGCTGCTTTTTTCATGGATACCATTTTTACCTGAAAAAAACAACAACAACAAAAACCCGCTACCAACTATGGTGATTCAGATTTGGATATTTGGTAGAACATAAATGAAGTGAACCTGTCACTTCAAGGGAAGGACTGACAGTACTTGTAGCCAATGATAAAATGTTAACTTAAAGCAAAAATTAGAATTGTAGAAAATTTGTATCTGCCATTATGACAGCTTCCCAATACCTAAGTTTTCTGATAAGATCAGTGATGCTATCAACAAAAGTTTATGTGTGCGTGTGTGTAATGAGATGTGTCACCATTTGGAAAATCAGCATACTTCAGTGAAACAATACTTTCCAAAGTTATACATGAGTAAAAGATCCATTCTTAGTGCAAGACAGACCAATAGCTTTTCATGTAACAGAGCATGGAGAGTTACTGACAAGGTTTCAGATTCTACACTGCAACTGACTTTTAAGAAATTATGCCTTGTTGATTTCTAGAAGAGTGTCAAAGAAAAACAGCCACAATGATCTGAAAAGGCTATTATCTATTTTTCCCTTTTCTGACCACATATCTGTGAAAGGCTGCATATTCATCATATACTTCCACCAAAAGAATGTAACAGAATGCAGAAGCAGATATGAGAATCCAGTTGTCTTCTATTAAGCCACACATCAAAGAGACTTGCAAAAATGTAAAATAATGCCACACTCGTCACTGAATTTTATTGAAATTGAAATTTTGTTTGTTTCATTGAAAATGTGTTATTTATGTTAACCTGTACTGGGCTTGTTATTTTTATTTAAAAATAAATTAATAACATTATTTTCTAAATTTCTCAGTTTTAATTTCTAATTTTTTAAATATTAATAGATAAAACCCACAGGAACAAAAAGCTCTTTGGTATCCTTAATAATTTTCAAGAGTGTAAAGGTATCGTAGATCGAAATGTTTCAGAACCTATGGCTGAAATTATTACTATTAATAAACCCTGTCTCAAGGTAAATTTTAAGGTAAATCTGAATTAAGTCTCAACTAGAGTTTCCCCACTAACGAGGTTTTTTACTAAACATGCCCCAGTTCACCTAATTTGCGGTCTCTCACAAATAAGAAAATGAAAAAAGCTATTATCTTCTTTCTTCTCTTAAGACTTGAGATCAATTTCTTAACATTTGTACTATGTTTAAAAACTACTGAGTACTTAATAAAATCTTCCATTGCTAGGTTGTGCCAAACAAGTAAGGCACATAGACAGCATTAGAGGGTCAGGCAGTGCTCAGAAATCCCAGGTATACTGGTCCAAGATTAAGGTAGCAGTTCTCAGGTCTTGCTAATCCATACCAGCACACGTGATACACATGTTCTATATCAACCTATCTAAATCTGATTGTGAGGAATCTACATTTTATCATTAAAAGGAGAGAGAGGAGATCAAGCAAAAAAAAAAAAAATCTATTCTGTTTCCTCACTGTTATTTTCTCAAACTGGGAAACTTACCTCTTTATCAGCTTTTATAAGGTAGTGGAGGAGCAGAAATAGAGGGTCCATGGGTGTAACAAAATGGAGAAGACCTCCTATAGATTAAAAAGAGAACAAAGGAAATTAATGTCTGAAAAGACAATTTAGTCATTTCACCTTAATCCTAGAGTGGAAACGATTTATTGAAAACTATATGTGAAATTCTAAATATAGAAGCTCTTCTTACACAGGTCCAAGATTCTATGTGTCTCTCAAAAGGCAGAACGTGGCCCATAAAATTTTACTCTAAAGACCTTCAAATTTCTGTGTGTAGATGAGACCCAAGACACTGAAATCAATCTTTAACTTTCCATTTCTCTTTCAAAATAACTTTTAACAGAGGTCCTCCCCACTGCCCCCAAAAAACAAGGATTGGGGGAAATATAAATAGAATATGAACCATGCAAACATAGGAAACCTATACAAATCTATCTGTAAAGCTGCAGTAAAATGTAATTTCCTGTGCTTCTGAGGATAAAGCCATGGGAAAGCAATATTCTCTCTATACAGAGCTTCTTCTCTGGTCTGTGGGCTCACTGCTCTGCATTGCTAATGACTCAGAGCTCAGAAGGTTGTACCACACCCCAGACACTACCCCATCCCTTACTCCCCACCCACCAAAAAAAGGTAAGAGGGCAGGAGTCTAACAAGATTGCACACCAGAAACTGGAAACTCCAGTAAGATTAATGGTGCTCTCCAAGCTGAAAGAAAAAGGCAAATCACTCAAACTAGCATAATTACTCCTTGCTTGTCTTTCCTCTATCACACTCCTCTCCAAGATTCCCCAACTTCCTCTTCCACAGACATGAATCAGAAGAGGAATTTCATCAAATGGAACAATAAACAATTCATTATCTCCTTACTTATTATTTTGGTTTTAGGAAATACAGGTACTTACTTTTATTCTCTAACAGAGCAATCTAACTATACAGACAAGAAATTCTAACCCCCAATTATATATATGAATCCATTTCATAGTAAGAAAAAATTAAAGAAGTAATTTCATATTATGATATTAGTTGACTATTTTTTTAAAGTAAAAGTTTATAAAAACAACCCATTGGGTTCTCTAAGTTCATTTTATGAGTAGGTTTCTAGATCCAAAACAATATCCTGGTGACTATTCTTAAAAACAGCTCTTTAAGGTTAAATTTATAAAGAAGACAATAATGAAAAAAGCAGGTATTTTTGCTGTGAACCTAAAACTACTAAACAAACAAACAAACAAACAGGTTAACAACTCAGTCTAGGGGAGATGAGCAATATTTTCCAGTTTTACCTGGATACAACTCTGTCTATCTAGCTAGACCCAACTGAAAATATATGTATTACATTAGAAATTGGAACTCTCATATACTGCCAAATGAATAGCACAGCAGCAACAACAGAAGGGAATACCTATATTCCAACTACCAGACTATACACGGACTACCATTGCATTTTGGCAACTAAAAACCACTTTAATTCTTCTCATACACATAGGTATTTGAAATTTATTAGCAGCATGAAACCCTTTTTTGGAATGTCTTAGAAGAAAGGCAAAGTGACCTTTCTACCTTAGCAAGGCGTAGCCACATACACAGCCAACAGAAAGCAGCACTCTCTGGAAACGATGAGAGAACAGGCAGGGAATGCAGAGTGCCTCAACTATCCCATGGCTCCCCACACCACTCCACATCCTCCCTCTCAGAACCATCAAAAAAACATGTGGTATCCTTTTTCCCTCTGAGTCAATACTACTCCAAATTAAAGGAACATTAAAAAAATATATAACTTTGGTGTTGGGTGTGTGTGTGTTTGGGGGGAGGGATGGCAGTAGTAATTTATATAATAAAGCATTAAAAAACTTTGTTAGATTCTATTCTATTTTAGAAGCTATATCAGTATCCATTTTCAAGGAAATAAGATGTTAAAAACTCAAAAAGCCACAAATGTGGCTAAGAGAAGAGCAAAGAGTTTCTGGTCAAGACAATGTGCACTCCATGGTACAAAGGTCACCTACCTTCGGAAAAGATGTTAGTGTTTTAAATTCGTTGGGTAAAAAGTACCTATCATTTAAGATACATAGGTATTGATATAACTTGCTCAAATTATCTTTCCTTTCTCCTTGATTAAACCCTGCTCTGGTGCCAAAAAAGAAAACAACCATTGACCAGACTCTAAAACAGGAGGACAGATTTGTTCGCCTGTGAAGGATAAAAAAGCTGAAGTATATTGTTTAGTTAAGGGAAATATATACATTAGTCACTTACCTGATTGAACTGATTGATTTATAAACCAAGAATGGTGTTTTTCCTTGAAAACTTTTATTTCAAACAGCTGTTGTAGACACATATTGAACAAGTAAAGGGCTCCTTCCCCTGTTAAGACAAATGTTTTTTATTTGCACGTTTTCACAAAAAAAAATCAAAAGACTACCCAATTGTTTTGAGGAATGTCCCTAATATAAACATAAACATACATAGACATATATTCTATACAAACTGACTCCAAGGAAAGCTTACACTATTATATACAAATGCTTGTTTTTCAGCCTTATAATCCTCACTGAACTTAAACCAATCCTATATAATAAAAGGCTAATATGCGAATCAACTGGTCGCTATGACATGCACATACCACCAGAGAGCAGACGCTCAACACAGGAGCTGCCCCCTGGTGGTCAGTTCGCTCCCACAGGTAAAGTGCCACTCAGCCAGAAGCCGGCTCACAGCTGGCAAGCGCAACAGCGCTAAGAATGTCCGATTGCTGGCTTCGGCCCACTCCCCCTGAGGGCTCTCGGACTGTGACAAGGCACAGGCCAGGCTGAGGGACCTCCCCCCGAGTGCAAGAATTTCATGCACTGGGCCTCTAGTAAATAATAAAAGGCAAACTATTTATCTTAAACTATTAAACAGCCTCTTACTGAATCCTCCATTGGACCAGGAAGGAAAATCCATTCTCAAACTACCCAAATCTAATGGTTCAGCAGATGAACTGAGCTGACACACTGGTCCCAGACTCCAGGGCAGCGTGTGCCTTACATTACACAAAGGGACCAAGAGTGGGACTGAGTCTGCCGACCCTGAAGGCCAGCTCTGTGTGAGAAAGGCAGAGGCCCTTTAATGCATGAATTTTTTTTTCTAAACACAAAGAAATCAAGGACTTTGAATCTATCTCTATCACATGCTGGGCCTGTGCCCTTGGTGAAGTTATATAAACCTTTCTGCACTGCTGTTTCCATATCGGTTAAATGGGAGCAACAGGGAGCCTACCTCACAGGGTTTTTTATAAGGATTAAAAAGGTAATACATGCGAAGCTCTTAAAACAGTACAGTACTTAGCACAAAATAAATGCTCAACAAGTCTTAGCCTTTCTTTTTCCCTAGTCAATGCAACAAATACAAACATTGGTTCAAACTTCTGTTGTCTATGGACATTTAGATAACAAAGAAATTTTACAAGAAGCCTGGAATTTTTGAATCTTTACTTTTGTTAAATGCTTTAGAACTTTTGCTACTACCTAAAACTTCTCTTGAAAAAATTGTTTCTCACCTTAACTTATGCATAATAGAGAGGAAAAGTTATATTCAATTTCATTTTGAGAAGAAAAGAAAACTGGAGGAAGCCAGAAATTTTTTCCTCTCTTGTTGCTTCTATCTTATATTTTTCCAACAACAATAACAACAGCAAAGTACTACCCACTGGTTTCCCCTTTCTTTTACTTTTATATTCAGTATTCCAGTCACTAGGAGAATCCTCTAATTTACTAGGTATCAGGCATCTACTCAAACATAAAATTAACAATAATCTTTTAACATAAATCTTATAAAATACATTAATGGAAAAACAATTCCATATAGAGATAAAAAATATGGTAAATTTTACTACACATCTATTATATAGTTTAATATTTTTGCCTAAAGATTAGAAGATAAAACAGAAAGTACACTGAATATAAAGTTAAAATAAAATTACTTCTGATAAAATATGTATCTCTGTAATATATAATTGTTTTGCTACAAAAAAATCAACCCTTGACAGGAAAAAAAAAGTACTATTTTCTGGTCAGAACAAAATAAAGAAAGTACAGCTAAAAATGAAACCACTGTAATCTTGGCATTTCAGGTAAAAGCCTTTTTTGAACCCCTATATATTTTACTGTATAGGAGCCTAACTACTCTAAGAAAAGCTCAGACAAAAATCAAATATGCTACTATGTTTTGCCATCATTTCTGATAAACAGGTCTATGGATTAAAATTATAAGGATAAATAAAAAATGTTTAGGTCCAGTGAATCATCTGGAGAAGACTAGTAATGTCAATAGTTTACTTTGGTCACGAGGTAATGCCATTTTACATTAAAAAGCTATTCAGTTAGACAGTGGTTCTCAACCTTCTGGCCCTTTAAATACAGTTCCTCACGTTGTGACCCAACCATAAAATTATTTTCGTTGCTACTTCATAACTGTAATGTTGCTACTGTTATGAATCGCATTGTAAATATCTGATATGCAGGATGGTCTTAGGCGACCCCTGTGAAAGGGTCATTCGACCGCCAAAGGGGTCGTGACCCACAGGTTGAGAACCGCTGAGTTAGAACAAAATACAAAGGCAAATAAGTAAATACAATGTTAAAAAAACAACAACATTCAAGTTACTATTATTGCAGGGGAGGGAAAGGGAGCTTACCTGAACATGGGTTAACCAATTTTACAAACATAAGCCCACTTTTCATCTTCTTGGAAGCATCTTTTAAATATTCTGAAAAGAAACGGTGAGCTTGTTAAATAAGATATTTGCTTTTTGTTCTTCTAATTTACTTCACCCTGATTTTCTTTCTTCTATTTACATCATTTTTCTTTCTATTATTTATAACTCAACTAGAGGCCCAGTGCATGAAAATTCATGCACTGGAGTGGGGGGGGGGCTGCCCCCTCTCACAGTCTGGGAGCCCTCAGGGGTGGGAGGCGACCTGGCGATCAGGGGAAGGCGACACCCCATCACACCTCTGCTGCTGCCACTGCCAGCAGCGCAAGCCTTAGGCAGCCCTGGTTACCTGAGCCTCAGGTGGCCCTCGGTGGCTGGGCAGCCACCATCTGAGGCTTGCCTGCACCTTGGGCCGGCCCTGGGTGGCTCAGGGACTGAGGGGACGGGGGGACTCTGGAGGCAGGCGCACAGAGCGGCTGGGCCCACCTGGGAGCAGACCCAGCATTGCCCTGTGCCTGCCGCCCAAGTGGGTCTGAGGGGACTGGGCGCCACCATCTTTGAGGGCATGGCAATCAATTAGCATATTCCCTCCTTATTGGCTGTGGGCGCCGCCATCTTTGAGGGTGTGGCAATCAATTAGCATATTCCCTCCTTATTGGCTGTGGGCGCCGCCACCTTTGCGATGGCATGAGGGTCAATTAGCATATTCAATCTTTAATAGATAGGATTCTATTGTTTAGGAGCTGTGTGATCTTGAGCAAATTAACAATTTCTCTGAGAAGTGCAGTGGGGTTTTAGGTCATTTTAATTTATTTCTTTGAGAAGTGATGAAGAACAGGACTCTAAGTCAGATGGCCTGAGTTATAACCTTGACTCAACCACTTGATAACTTTGTTGCTTTGGGCAAGGTTCTTCATGTCCTGTCTCAATTGTCACATTAATAAAATGATAACATATATACTTGCCTTTGAATGGATTAAATTAAACTAATCTGCTGAAAGCTCTTAAGATATTCAAACAGAAACACATAATATAGTTATGATAATTATTATTTTAATTATCATTATGAAATAAAACATTTTAAAAATAAGTATTTCCTGAACATTTATATTTTTTGCCCCTAATTGTGATTACCTAACCTTGTCCTCTGCCCACTTTTCTATTGGGGGTATTCATCTTTCTTCTACTACTTTATGAGGAGTCTTTATACAGTAAGAACAGGAATTCTGTTTATGTCATACTTAGAAAGGCCTTCTTGATTTCAAGATTATATTTTCTTTCTTTAACATATCTGGAACATATCTGGGTATACTGGTAAGATATGGGAAGGAGATCCAAATCTAATTTTTTTTTCAATGAGTTATTCAATTATACCAACACCATCTAGTGAATGACCCACCATTAAAATAATTCCTTTATGCTAAAACACATTTATAAGTCTGTCAATGTATATTCTATTTTGATCCATTAATTTGTTTCTATATTAACATTAGTACTTCAACATTTTAATTATCATAGCTTTAAAATACATTTTAATATCTTGGAAGGCAAGGCTCCTCATTATGTTTCCTCTATAATGTTTCCCTGTCAAAGTTTTAATCATATAGTCCTATCTAATAAAGAGGGAATATGCTAATTGACCCTCACGCCAATGCAAAGATGGCAGCACCCATAGCCAATAAGGAGGGACTATGCTAGTTGACTGCCATGCCCTCAAAGATGGCAGTGCCTACAGCCAATAAGGAGGGAATATGCTAATTGACTTCCATGCCCTCAAAGATGGCAGTGCCCACATCCACAAGATGGCTGGCAGGGGAGGGCAGTTGTGGGGAATCAGGCCAGCAGGGGAGGGCAGTTAGGGGCAACCAGGCCAGCAGGGGAGGGCAGTTGAGGGCGACCGGGCCACCAGGGGAGGGCAGTTGAGGGTGACGGGGCCGGCAGGGGAGGGCAGTTGGGAGCAACTGGGCTGGCAGGGGAGGGCAGCTGGGGGCGTCTGGGGCAGCAGGGGAGGGCAGTTGGGGGTGTCCGGGCCGGCAGGGAAGGGCAGTTGGGGGCATCCGGGCTGGCAGGGGAGGGCAGTTGGGGGCATCCGGGCCAGCAGGGGAGCAGTTAGGCGTTGATCAGGCAGGCAGGAGAGTGGTTAGGGGGTCATCAGGCTGGCAGGCAGAAGCGGTCAGGGGCAATCAGGCAGGCAGGCAGGCAAGCGGTTGGGAGCCAGGAGTCCCGGATTGTGAGAGGGATGTCCGACTGCTGGTTTAGGCCTAAACCCTTGTGGGATCAGGCCTAAACCGGCAGTTGGACATCCCCAAGGGGTCCCAGATTGGAGAGGGTGCAGGCTGGACTGAGGGACACCCACCGCCCACCCCCCCCCCAGTGCACAAATTTCGTGCACGGGGCCTCTAGTTTAAAACATAAAGACCATGACAACTTTATTTTTAACAGCCTCTACACATTTTGAAGGGCATATTCATAGAACTAATTTAAAGAATCTCTCTCCAAAAGAAACCAGAGGCCTCTGACAATTAAGGGAACAGAACTACCTACCAAAGAGCAAATCAGAAAGCTTTGGGTAAGGAAGGAAACTTATAGTCACTTTTATTCTATGGCCCATTCCCTTCACCCTGTTCAGATCTTCATAAACTCATATAGAGCAAGCATGTTTAGAAATTGGCTTACCCAATAGTTAAAATAGAACATTTTTTCTGAAAATAATAGTGACATTAAATATATTTCTTAAAAAAAAAAAAAACAACACCCGGAGAAACTAAGATGGCGGCATAGATAAACACCGGGAAATTTCTGCTTCCCACAACAATCGATAAATGCATCAAAAACACAAGGTGGACATCATCCAGAGCTACAGGAGGGCTGGCTGAGTGTAAATTCTACAACTAGAAGGAGAGAAAAGCACACTGCGAGCGGGAGGAGCTGCGGAGGTGGCGTGCAGAGGTACGGGGGCTCGCGCGCGCGCGGAAAGGGTCTGGCACCTGAGGACGCGGCTGTCTTTTTGAATCCGGAGGGAGACACAAGCTCCCGACGGCTCTGAAATCCGGTTCCGGGAAGTCTCTGGGGACCCAGGGCTCATACGGGGAGATACTGGACTGTCTGGCAGCAGGCGAGCTTGAGAGCGGCTTTCCCTCAGAGGTGCTTGCAGCCGTTGCCGGGACACTGGGACTCGCGACTCCTTAGGGCAGGGCTGAGGCTCCGCCATAGCTGCTTTCTCAGCCCTTTGATTCCTTGAGACCCCGCCCCACCCAGGCTGCGGCAGAGGCTTTTGCATATGAATGCCCCGGCCATTTGCAACCTGTAATTACCTAACCGCAGCCGGGCCAGATAGACTCAGAGCTTCCAAGAGAAGGCCCAGGCCCCACAGCGGCTTGCATTGCTACACAGCTGAGCATCATCAGGGCAGCTGATTCTCGCTGCCAATTGCCCTGGAGGTCAATTCCTCCCAGTGATCCTACAACAACCAAGGCATAGCTACAACAAGACTGTGCACAAAGCCCACGAGGGGGTGCACCAAGAGTGTCCACCTCAGGTAACTGGGGAGGCTGAGCTACTGGGCCCTACAGGACACCTAGCACACAAAGCCACTCTATCAACACAGGGAAGCAACCAAAATGCGGAGACAAAGAAACAGGTCACAAATGGCAGAAATGGAGGAAAGCAAACGATTGGATATAGAGTTTAAGGCCACGGTTATAAGGTTTTTCAAGAATTTTATGGAAACCGCCGATAAATTTAATGAATCCCTCAATAAGTATAGGGAGACCATGGAGGACATGAAAAAGGACCAACTAGAAATTAAGCATACACTGACTGAAATAAAGAATAATTTACAGAGATCCAGCAGCAGAAAAGAGGATCCCAAGAATCAAGTCAAAGATTTGAAATACAAAGAAACAAAAAATACCCAACCGAAAAAGAAAAAAGAAAAGAGATTCCAAAAATATGAAGATAGTGTAAGGAACCTCTGGGACAACTTCAAGCGTACCAACATCAGAATTATAGGGGTACCAGAAGGAGAGAGAGGGCAAGATATTGAAAACCTTTTTGAAGAAATAATGACAGAAAACTTCCCCTACCTGGTGAAAGAAATGGACTTACAAGTCCAGGAAGCGCAGAGAACCCCAAACAAAAGGAATCCAAGGAGGACCACACCAAGACACATCATAATTAAAATGCCAAGAGCAAAAGATAAAGAGAGAATCTTAAAAGCAGCAAGAGAAAGACAGTCAGTTACCTACAAGGGAGTACCCATACGACTGTCAGCTGATTTCTCAACAGAAACCATGCAGGCCAGAAGAGAGTGGCAAGAAATATTCAAAGTGATGAATAGCAAGAACCTGCAACCAAGATTACTTTATCCAGCAAAGCTATCATTCAGAATAGAAGGTCAGATAAAGAGCTTCACGGATAAGAAAAAGCTAAAGGAGTTCATCACCACCAAACCAGCATTATATGAAATGCTGAAAGGTATTCTTTAAGAAGAGGAAGAAGAAAAAGGAACTCTTACCATTTGCCACAGCATGGATGGAACTTGAGAGCGGATAAATACCACAGGATCTCACTCATTTGTGGAATATAATGAACAACATAAGCTGATGAACAAGGACTGATCCAGAGACGGAGAGGCATTGATTGGACTGTCGGGACTTGGAGGGAAGGTAGGGGAGGGTGGGGGTAAGGGGGAAAGATCAACCAAAGGACTTATATGCAAGCATATAGGCCTAACCAATGGACATGGACAACGGGGGGGTGAGGGCATGAGCGGGGGTGGGGGGCGTGGGGGGTAGAGGGTAACGTGGGGACAAGGACACATATGTAATATCTTAATCAATAAAAATATATTAAAAAAAAAAACACAACACCCAAATATAGAGATTCCTACTTACAATCAAGTGAAATAATAGGAACCCTCCTCCCACCTGATGCAACAATACCAAAATAAAGACAAAATATACAAAACAACTCTTTCAAGAAGATGGACATTGAGCCATGCAGGATGGTGGTCTCTGAGGGATGGGAAACAAATAAGGTGAACCCTGTGATTG